ATATGTCTGTGTTTCTTGCTGAATTTGAGCTTCAATAAGCTCCTGCGTTCCTATTGGCCCCTCTAGTCTTGGCATTAGAGCCCAAGCTCTGTGAGAAAATTCTCACAGGCGTGAGAAAACGAAGGAAGGCCTCCTTCTTCTCCCTACTGCGCGCTAGCGCCTTAGCTGCAGGTGTTAAAAGTGCTGTTAGTCGATTCCTCGTGGTCGGTTCTCCTAGATAGCGTGCTTTCCTAGCGGTTTCCAGAAAACTCGAAGTTGGCTCTATTAGGTCTTTAGTTTTTCTATTAAATATTGTATTTTCGTCGAAGATTACGTCTCTAGTGCTAATGACTTTAGCCAGCGATGGAATCCAGATCTGATAGATCGTCGACGCCTGGTAGCCAACTAGGTAGCCAATCCAAGCTTTAGGATCAAGCCTCTGTAGTCTTAATTTTTTGTAGTGTGTATTATTAGTTATTGCAAACGCTTTGCACCTATATGCCTTAAGGTAAGCCACTCTTAGCTTCTTAGATGTAGCTATCCTATTTGTTTAGGATGCATAGGTGAAGAAGACTTTATACAGCGTCTTCTATTAATTAACGTAGTTTAGCGTTTAGTTGTATAAGTACACTGCGGCCCGAGTGATCTCTGGCCAAAGCTCCTATAGTAGATTGGCGTCTAGCCGCATTGCGCGCGCCTTCTCCTTATTCACACCCCCTAAGCGTTTAGCGCCACTATTTTGTGCTTAAGTGTCTAGTGCTAAGGGCTCGGCAGCAATCCCCTAGGCTTGGAGCTAGCGCATTACTTCAGGTTTGACAGTCGCGATCTCGTTGTCTGTCTTAACAACTTTTGGCGTGATATTATATTAAGTTTAGAGGAATTTAACAAAGTTAGTGAGTATCTTAATAATTAATTTAGCTGTTTAATTGTCTTTGAGATAGAAATCCTATTAAAATCTTGAGTATTTGTCTGTAATTAATAGCTGTGATAATTCCTTGTTATAGGACTATTTCTTATAGCTATAGAAATCGATTATTATTCTTTCACTAGGTCCTTGATTATTTGTCTAAGGAGCGCGGCTTATCTGTCTGCGGATTTTTGCTCTTCTACATGAATTGCACTCCACTGTTGTAATGCCCTTAATCCTCACCCCCTGAGCTTGCTGCACGAGATGTTCTATGGCTGCTGGGCCTAGGTGACCTAGACGCTTGTGCTAGAGTATCGCAGTTGCTCGCTCAGGTGGTTTCTTAGTGCTTAAGGTATGCTTGTAGGTGTAGAGTGCTTAGTGATTTAGTTAGGCATAGAATCTAGGTGTGTTAAGCACCTAGATTTTGTGGGTATTAAGTACCCACTAGCTAAAACGCTCTAAGAGATCGCAGATTGTTGTTCCGTCAAGTCTCTTAAGGGCTGTAGGCTCTGATTTAGTGTCCCACTATATTCCTATTTGCCGGAGTTTCTAGAAAGAGACGAGGTTGCATAGTAGATCTAGGCATATTGCCACATTTTTAAGTACGAGCTTCCTAGGCCTCTATTTGTGTGTAAGGTTGAGTATTATCGTGCTATATCCTATGATCTATATCTAACTATTGCCTGCCTATACAAAATCTCTATTGTTTGGTGGCTTGTAGTAGTGTATTTAGTTAGGGTTATTAGTAATATGATACGTTGTCCCCGAATCGAGTATGAACGAGTGACGCAGAGGGTAGTCCGTTCGGCTTGACACGAAGGCTGCAGCGAATACTGCCTTGATCTGGGTTATCTGTCTACTATTTAGTCACTGATCTTCGATTTCTGGTTGGGGAGTTTGAGATTGCTTATAGGTTTAAGATCTTGTCCTTGGCCGACTTTGGGCTCTTATGAGACTCTAAAACTTAACTACAGTGCCCGTGCACCAGATGAGCACCATAGCCAGTTGAGCACCCCCAACAACTCAATATAGTCAACAAGATGAGGCTGTAGAGCCACTACAAATCGTAATAAAATTGCGCAAAGCTAGGATTATACTATATATAGGCCTACGAAAGTTTTGGCTTATACAGAAATTTTTTTGGAGGGCGTTATTGGTCGTTGCCGTCGACTACGCGGTGGAGCAGCTCGTGCAACCCTTGCGGCTCCCACCACAGCTGGAGCAACACCACTACACTTTTGACGCTTTGTAGCTGGCTTATGAGGTTTTGACGCTTTGCGCTTACCTAATTGGGGCAATTGTATAGCTTTGGCAGCGTCGCGGAGGCTTCTACGATGCTCTCTTTCGGCTTTCTCTGCAGCCTTCCGCTTTCTGGTCTCCTCCCAACCCTTCTCCCGCTCAACACGGGCTGCTTTTTGAAGTTGAAGCTGGCAATCGCGAGCTGCCTTCTTGATCTTGGCTTGCTCGGCTTTTTGAAGCTTTTCAAGCTCGGCTTGTTGTTATTGTTGTATCTTGTTATCCTGAACTCGTTTGACGCTTGTTGGTGACCACCAAACAGCTCCACCATAATACTCAGGATGATCCTCAAGCTGTAGGGTATAGGATTTGGTTTCCCGCCTCTTCTTGATGGCTAGGGACTGCCTAAGGCCTTTGAGTTCGCCGTGAGGAGTGTATTTTAAGCTGCAAGG